AGGACAGAAAACAAGATCACTAACCCATTCAACACAGTGACGAAGATGGCTGGGGAGGCGTGGATGCGGTGCTTCCGCAAGAGGAACCCCACGGTCTCACTAAGGACACCAGAGGCCCACAAGCGGTTGTTCGCGCCGCGCGGCGTTCAAACTCAGTTAGTGTCAACGCGTTCTTCGACAACCTTGAGTCGCAGAGGATTCTGCCCAGTTCGGTCCCACACCCTTTACAACATGAATGAAACGGGATGTTCACACGGTCGCAACAAAAGGCAGTGCCTAGGCAGAACGCAACAAAAAACAGAAAATGTGCTGGCGAGGAAGGGGTGCGAGCAGGTCGGCCACCTGACATCTGCGGAACGAGGCACGCTGGTTACCGGGGTGTGATGTGGTCAACGCTGCGGGGAGCTAGATACCTCCAGATGTGATATTCCCAAGAAAGAGGGCCAACCAGCAGCTGGAGAAGGGTCTTCCCACAGGTAGCCTGGTGCTGTACCATGAGTCTGGTTGGATGCAGAAGGAGCTGTTTGTGAAATGGCTTGACCATTTCATACAGCACGCGAAGCCCTCGAAACAGGATCCAGTCCTTCTCATACTGGATGGACACGCCAGTCACACCAAGAGCCTCGCAGCCATCCTGCTGTGCAGGGAAGCAGGTGCGGTGACGCTCATTATTCCTCCGCACACTTCACAACCGACTTCAAATGGACGGACGTTCATGCTTCCCGTCAGCACCTTGTTCTTCCAAGGTCAAAGAACGTGGCTCCGAAAAAACCTGGTAAAGTCACCACATGTATGAGATGGGGAGCTCATCGGGTCAGCCTACGTGCAGGCGGAAACAGTGAAGACGGCGTTGAAGGGCTTCGAAGTCACAGGAATCTTTCCCACAAACCGCCATGTGTTTGGCGAAGAAGACTACGCAGCGGCAGAGAACAACGAACATCTCGCTGGCCGGCACCGCAGACGCACCAGTGGGTCTCAACTCAGCAGCAGCTCCTCTGCCCATGCCTGGGCCCTCTGACGTTGATGTCTCGGTGAGCACGAACGTTCGAGAGTCCTCGGAAACTGTCGCCGGAGACGCAACGCAGGCTGGAATATCGGGGCAGGGAAGCTCGACTAATGCCGAAACTCCGGCGAAGTTGTTCACCGCTAGGGCACTGCCAGATGATTTCTCAAGCTCTAGCGATGACAAAGATGACGCTCTAGAAGTGCCATGCTCAGCTGGACCGAGCCAAGCTTCCCAAGGTCGAATAATACACCTGCAAGCTGCTATGTGTCCCTCCGCGAAATCCTCCTCGTGCCAAAAGTGCGCTCAAGGGAGGGAGAGGTAAAGGACGAAAGAACGGTAAAACGTGCGTCTTGACTGGCACACCATACAAGGAGAAACACCAGAATTTACTCGAAGGAAAAGAAGGTAGACAGGGAGGAAAGAAAAATGAGGACAGAAGTCAGTCGGACGAACAAGGAGGAATGCAGAGACTCAGAAACTGCAGCGTAAACAAAAGAACCGTACGCCGCGAAAGCTTACCTTTGAGGAGTCCTCGGACGAAGAAGATGTAGCTTGTCTGTACTGCGGGTCTCTCTTCTCCATTTCCAAATCGAGCGAGTCTTGGTCGAGATGTGCTCTCTGGTTTCGCTTGTCTTGTCTGGTTTCGCCACTGGTCGTACCTGCTGACGGGTCCGCTAGGCTGTGCTCTTCTCGTGCTTTGCGTTCACAGTGACTGAGAAGTGGATTGATGAGAAGAACGGGTGAGTGTTCCTGAGCGAACTTTGCTCGATGACTTGTGTGTTTGAGACTCGATTGTTTTCGTCTCATTGTGAAACCATCACGCTGTGGTCCTCGAATTCTGTGTCTAAGCCATGCAGTAATGGCTGTCACTTCATGCTAAACTGTAGTACACATTTGCTGGCCATCATAACTTTTATTCGTGGGATCATACTAAGAAAGGAGTGTGGAGTGGGATGGTTCGAACAAAATATGAGAGCCCAAATTTAAACAAATAGCTATCGGATCTCCAGATAAATACCTACTCACCGAGCAATGCATTTATTTATGCGTTCTCAATAAAAATGATAACTTTGAAAAAATTTATTTCGCTTATTCAATCTCATCACTTGTTCGTTTTGCCCCCATACTGCTTTGTTTTGCCCCAAGCCAGGGGCAAAATGAGGAAAAAACATTGCCTGATATTTAGGAGGATCACACTTTAACATGAAGAGGCATCAAGCCAGCGCTTTTACAAGAGATAGACAATTGATTGGCCTTCCATATCCACCTGCTAAAGACTTTCTGGACAGACTTATGAACTTGCCATATTCAAAAACCGTTAAGGTGCCCGTCTTGCCCCGCTTTCCCCTAGACAGTGGAAGCAATCCCAAGTTAAAGCGAAGAAAGGAATTCGTATTTCAGGAAAATGAAATCTGACAGGATCATCTCCTTACCTTCAGTTAAAAATTACCATATGATCTGGTTTAACTTTTGTTTTTCTTACATAGCGTAGACATTACCCGCACCTGTTAGGTACGCTGAATCCCAAGTGATCATTTGTTCCAAAATCGAGTTAACCAACAAGCAGCATTGCAAAAAAACTTTACAAAAGAAGGCAAACAGCTAAAATTTGCTTGCTGCTTGTGACACGTACTTGACGCATATTTGGACGCGTTGCTCAGTGCTGTTTGCCAACTGTCGTTTCATTCTCAACGTATTGATCCATAGGCTGACAAAGTTGGCCGTTGATAACGGTTGGATAGTAAAGTTAAAGTTGTGTAATATTTCATTAAAAATTGCACAAATATGACTTCAACTGGAAATAAAAGCATCACACATGCATGTACACTAAGATAGGTTAAAGGTCATTGTCGCCGTCACTGTTCCTTTACGACTCACTTAGCTGCTGAGGCTCTATAGCGTCACTTGCCTATTACCCTGGCAGGAAGGGCGGGCACTGCGGGGATTGGAACCTCGTACCTCTGGTTTCCCAGAAGCACAGGAGTTTACCAGATGCGTGTACCGTTGCACTTCCAGCACCCACAGATAGGTCATAGGGATTAAACCACTTGCACCGATTTCCAGCCATAGTCAAAATTTTGCAATAGCTTCAAAATTAAGCGAGTCATCACAGCAAATCAGGTTTCCAAAAGCAAAGCCAATATCAAGTATCTAAAGCTACGACTGATAACGTGATTTTTATCAGTGTGTCTCGGCAATATAGCAGTCGTTGGCTCTGACCTCAAACACAGGAATCTGGTAACGTGATTTACATCGCTCCGTACCTTTTCCTTAAAAACAGAATGAGTGTTATACAACTTTTTACCTTTGCTTGGCGTCCTGTCTATGAAAGGACGCTATTACTTAACTTCTAATCTCCGGGATTTTTATTCCGAATTCATTTGCAATAAAAGAAAACTCAAGAAATACCGAACTAAACTGAAACGTTATAACCTGAGATGTAATGGAAATATGCTGACATGTAATGGTACGAATATGAGCGCATGTTTTTTTTAAACGTTTGATGCTCAAATGCATTGTGAACACATCAGACGAGTTTGTCTGCTCGCACGATTGCTTAACATGACATTGAATATGAAAGGTAGAAAATTTATCAACCATCAATGAACCAATGACCGCGTTTATGCAAAATTTGTTGCGAATCGGTTCCCAATTTAGAGAAGAGTCTAATGTTAGGTCTTAGTGCTTCGATTCCACAGCAGCTGACCAAGCAACAAACAAAACTTTAGCCCAAAAAGATTCCTGGTGCACGCGTCTGGCAGTCATACTATTCATAGCGTTTGACCAACGCACGGGGAGCGACGCGACCGTTCCGGGCGCGGCGGCTTGTGTGGCTCCCCCGCGTCGCGCAGCGAAGGGTTGGGGGGGGGGGGGGCAGTCGTAAACGAGGTTACCACCCATCCCATCTGATCAGGTGAGGGGAGTCAGATGCTTTGAAATGCTGCCGGGCCAAATTCGACCA